GTGGGCACAAACTGGAGCACAGGAGTCTCCCTCTGACCATCAGGCAGCACTTCTGTGCTGGGCAGGTGGCAGAGCCCTGGCACAGGCTGCCCAGGGAGTCTCCTGGCTGTGGGGTCTCCTCCTTGGAGATCTCCAGAAGCCTCCTGGACGTGGTGCTGGGCACCCTGCTGGAGCAGGGGCTGGAGCAGAGGCCTCCAGAGGGCCCTGCCAGCCTCAGTTGTTCTGTGGCTCTGTGCTAGGTGAGATGCTGTGTGTTCTGTCAAGGAACCTGCATTTTTCATTGCTGACTTCTTCAGAACTGTGATATAGCTGTAGAGAAAATTAGTAAAATCGTAACAGAAAGAGAATATCACAGTCAGTGGTAATTTCCTGTTACATTTAGGATATTACATTTAGACTCTTCTATCTGGTTCTACCATTTTAATATGATTTCAGTGCATAACCATTCTCCGTTTACTTTAAACTGGGACATAGTGATTGCTATTTGTGGTACATACAGAAACAAAGACAACAGAGGATTATAGGATATTACTATTAACAAGTTCAACTTAGCTGTAGCTTCTTAAATTTTAACCTGCATAAAAGTGTTCCTACTTTGTGCAGTCTTAAAATTTCAAGCTATTTTATTACTTTTCACTTCATTCACCAGCTTGGAGTACCAGTGGGAGGTGGGAGAGAGGAAAGCTTTGTTTCTGTACCACAGATTGACTGGCAGACGGTGGCATACACGGCACATTTAAAAGAGCACATGTAGTCCTCACAATAGGATGTTGTCTTAAATACAGAACCATTCTCGTAACCCAACGAGAGGGGAGGGGGAAGAAGGGGAAAAGAAGGAAGGATGTAGTGGAAATTGAATTCCTGGCTTGAACTTTAGTGTTTGTTCTGCATTTCTGTGGTCTACCAGCTAACCCAGGATGTGTCAGGTTATTTTTTATTTCCTCTTGATTTTATTTTTTTTCCTCCATTGTTAATTGTAGGCTTCTCACAACCAAGGGATCTTTTCTAATTTCCACAGTTGGGCATAAACTCCTGACCTCTGGCAGGCAGGAGATCTTGGACACCGTTGCAGCTGAATTACCAAAACGTGCTTTTTCTTTCTTGTTCCAGACAGCAGCCAGTTTCCAGGTTCAGGGACAGACTCAGTTACGTTAGTCTGACAGACAGGACAAAGTTAGAGCTAACGCCAGTTCTCTTCAAGTATATTTTGGATTGCTGCCCTTTTCCTAGATGTTACTTCATTTTTAAGCCCCTCAAATTAGTTAATTAGTCAGTTACACTGAAAAAAAAAAAAAAAAAAAAAAAAAAAAAAAAAAAGCATGATCTTGAACTCACCCTTTATACAGATGACTTAAGTTTTGCTGTGACAAAACTGAAATATTTAATGTTTTGGTATCACAGAGTTAAAGAACACTATGCACAGATTATTTTGGCCCAATTCCTTTGTGAAAGAATTGAGTAGGGTACAATACTTTATTATACACACTCTTCAGTTCTGCTGTGACTGTCAGTAAAGTTTCTTTCCTTGTTAGGTAGCTTTCTGGGCACCTAAATACATTTACTAAGCCTATAACCTATAACCGTTTTTTACAGGAATGGAACTGAGAGCGATTCTAACAGTTCCCTAGCACTAAGTTATGACAAAGTGTCCTTAAGCAGTATGAGTTACCCAAAATAGAAGCAAAAAATCTAAACTGGTCACAGCCTGCATATACTGGAAAGATACCTGCCTTAACAACAGTATGTTGTGAGGATTATAGGCAACTTTCCCAAAATGTTAAGCTCCTAAAGCTGACTTCAGCCTTCTAAAGAAGCTATTTCTCAAACGTGCTGAACATGCAGCAGGGCCCACTGAATGCTCAAGCTTGTAAATACACGACTGAGAGGTGGGACAGCAATATCAAAGGGGAAAGGCAGTTGCTTTTTTTTTTTTTTCTTAAAAAAAAAAAAAAGGAGCAGTATGCTTTTGTAATCTGTAGTTCACTAGCCAGCAAAACTGAGCTCACATGCAAAGAATTTCTCTGATGTCCCACTGACAGAGGAAATAGCATCTAAAATATGGAAAATTGGTAGCTTCATGTTTGTGATAAAAAGCTTTTCTAAGTAGAAGGTACTGCTAAACGCCCTACCTTGCTTTTGCTAAATAAATAAATCTGAAATTAAGGAAATTATTTTAAAGAGGTAGACTCTTGTTATCTTGCAGATTATTTACTCTTTGTAGAGGAGATAAAGCATGTCTTACCGAACCCATAAAAACATTACATGAAAGGCTATACTGAGAAGTTTGTATGGCAGGCCTTAAAATGGCCTCAAAGAGCTGGGAGGATGAAGTACTACAGTCTGCTTTTTAAACAGGTCCATTTTTAAACTTCAATAACTTTTAGTTAAAATGCAGAAGAATAATTTCAAAAATTAACTAGGTTCTTCAAAGCTTTTATTAGTTCCGTGTTCCTGTCATTATACCATAGAGAAAGGATGCCCTCTTTCGGTGCTAGCAGAAATAATTACTGAGATTGCTGTAATTACTGAGAGAGAACTGCATTCACAGTGACTTGTCTTGTCAAAGAAAAACATTTCTTTCAGATAGCAATCTATCTGAAAGAAATGCTCCTCTTCCTACAGTTTTGGGGCTGGAGTTTCCTCTGCCCGTCTCTAGAGTTGGGCAAGAGAAAAAAAAAAGGCCAATGAATAAAAAGGAGCCCCATTCTTTCTCACCCTGCTACAGCATTCCTGTTTCCATGATGCTCCATCATCAAGGAACGGAAAGAAATACTGAAAGCATAAAAGCAACTTCATGCATTCGGAAAACTACCAGTTTTTCTGTGTAAAGCTTTGAGGTAAAGTTGAATTCAAGTAAATGTTACTTTCTGATGTCCTATTATTAATATATGGAAAACTTAATTAACTTATCATAGTGATACTCTTCAGCAGAGACTCCGAAGCTTCACCTTAAGACCAGGGTTTTGGTTTCATTTTCTACCTTCTGTGCCCAAACTGTTGAAAAGAATAAAAGTCACCAGCTCTGAGAACAATTTGCCTCTGTAACTGTTCCTGTATAAAGAGATTTTTCTCATGTCATGTGCTTGCTCAGTAAATGCAAATAACTCACTAGGTATTTGGCTTGATGCCTTCACCACTTGAGATACTGTCTGGAGATTGGCTTTCTGATTTGAATAATTATGCTCGTTTTTATTTTTGATTTACTTGCCAAATACTCAGACTCAAAGCGCCTTCCTGCTGGCTCACATTCTGTAGGTGATAGGCTAGTCACAGGCGGTTTGTTTTGCATGGAGGGATCGCAGTGATACATGATGAATAACTGGGGTAGGAAAAGCCTTACAATGGCCTGGAATTCTACCCCACGTCCTAGAGTGGGAATGCACTGAAAAGGTTTGAACATGTCTGATTTAAACTACAGTTTCTTCCTTATAAAATAAGAACAGTTTCATAATATCACAAAGAGTAATTAACACTTTGCAAATATGCTGTAAGTGATTCATAGTATTTGCTCCCTCCAGCACAATTTTATCGTACCGGTAAGTGAGACATTTCTGCCTTGTACAGGCATGTGTGACCACCATTCAGAGCCTGAAATTTAATTACGTATATATTTGAAATTGGTATTTCATAGCGTAGTGCTTCATATCATATGGTAACCAAACCTTTAAACAGACAGACTAGGAAAAAAAGGTTTTACAAAGCACTTACTCTTATAATTATAGCATATCCCGAGTTGGAAGGGACCCACAAGGATCACCAAGTCCAACTCCTGGCTCCATAAAGGACAACCCAGAAATGAGATCTTGTGTCTGAGAGCATTGTCCAAACACTTGGACTCCGACAGGCTCAGTGCTGTGACCACTGCCTTGGGGAGCCTGTCCCAGTGCCTGAATACTCTCAAGGAAAAAAACACTCTTTACCCCACAAACAGAAGACTCTTAAGACTCTTAGGCCACACTTCTCAAGAAGCTTGAAATCTGTCTGAAACTTCTTAGGAAAATGCAATGCCGTGCACAACCAGCATTGCAGAAGCCCTGCAGTACAAGTTCTGCAAATGTGACATTATTGATTTTGGTGACCACGTAGACAGGAAACCACTGCCATTCAAACCACTGATGATGAAGAGAGAGAGCAAGGCTTCTGTAAGTGCCAAATGATGAACTGGTTATACCGAATGATGAAGTTTTAGAACTACTTTCTGAAACCTTTTCATTCTTATAGCACTCTCCTGTTGTTTTATGGTACATAATGCTGTTGTATTGTCATACAATGTTATTGTAGAGGAAACTGTATAGTTTCCTTTATAGATGTAAATATTTGCTGGAATAAAGTCTTCCTGACAAAAACACTGTTAACGAATTCCCAAGTAATTCAGCATCAATAAATGAGAGTATGTTCCTCTATTTAAAGACTTGCTTTAAAGCAATCATTTGTTTTATAGATTAAGCTTAGTAAATCTGAAGTAAACTGGAAGATTAAATCCCACATACATCAAATACGTATCTACTCCTATCATCACTGCTGGCAAGCACACGATGCAGGCAGCAGCATGTGTTTGGCCACATACCCGATAACTGGTCAGACAGAGGAGCTACTGAGCACGCTATTCTAAATTCTTAGCCGAAATGATTAAATCCAGCATTCAGCTCATGCTTTAAAAACAAAGCAGGCAAATACAGTCATAGACAAAAGTGACTCAGTTCCCCGTGCTACACAATTTGAATCATGCAGTAGCTGCAGCTTTATTAGCACGTCTCAAAGTGTACGGCTCATACATTTTGGGTGCATCCTTTTCAGACACGTAACCTCTTATTTTCTCACCCTTCCCTATATGGTGTGAGCACATGCATGAGCATAAGTTTCAGCAAATTTAAGCATTAAAGGCTTTATACACAGCAATCCAAAAGTAACAAGTTTGTGCATTTCAGTATCTTTGAAAACTAACTTTGCATTTTTTAAAAAAAAGATATGACTTTCTTCAAATAATTTTCTCAGTTTTCTTGTTAAACATTGCAATCTTAGGAATCAGTTTTTTAGTGTTTTAATTGTTTAAAGATGAAAAAAAATCAGCTTGCATGTCTTAACAGGGAAGTTGATTAATATTTGTGGCAAAACTGGGAAACAACAAAAAAAAACCCATAAGGAAATAAAATACTTTCCTTCCTGTGCTTCTAGAAGATGGCTGCTGTCTGCCTGAGGGATGCTCACAGGCTCCCTGGTGCTCCCAGGTCCCACCGCCCCTGCTGCCATCTCTGAGCCCCGCTGGCTGCAGGTTTTCCACTGGTTCAGGGAGCTGTGTTAGTGCCCGCTGGGCTCAGCGAGTGCCAAAGCAGGGCAAGAAGTCGTGACAAAAGAAGGAGACCTGTATAGTGGAAAACAAACAAACAAACAAACAAACCCTTTTGAAGGACTTCACCATCTAGTAGAAAAATACTCTTTCACAAAATTAGGTCTGAAATAGAATTTTTTCAAGAGGTATTTCATAGTTGGCAAAAAAAAAAAAAAAAAAAAAAAGAAGGTGAACGGATATATGGTGACCTTTCTCTGTAAATACTGTTCTAGATTTTAGATATTACAATGTTAAATTATAAACTATTGATTCAACTATTCACTTCTTCATTTCCAGTTGTTTTCATGTAGGCAGACTGAGTGGTGAGGCAGCTCAAAAGGGGCAGAAGCACGGTTCTGGGGGGAAACACAGAGATAATTGAGGAAACAGCAGGGAGCATTTTGGGGGGAGCCCTGACCTCAAAGGGGTCAGTGGGGGAGTTTGTTTGGGAAACAATGGGGTACATGAGGGGGACAGTGGCAGGATTTGACAGGAGGTACTGTGGGGGACAGGAGGAGCTGAAGCAATGAAGTGCCTGCAGAGGGGTGTAGGTGGGAATCAATGAGGAGGTGTGGGGGTGTCAGTAGGAGATGCCGGGGTAAATTAAGGTGGAAGTAAGGGGCTGGTTTTGTCAGGAATTGCTGAGGTACTGTTCTAGGTAAGGCAACAATATATGCTGAAGACAAAACTCAGTCTTTTGTTAACTGACAGTCACCATCCTTCTGAAAATACCTGAAATGTCTTCGTTACTCATTACAATGAAATTTTAATTGGAGCCTTAGAAAAGCTAGTTTCATGTTTCACTTATGATGCTTTTAGCTTAGAAGCTTATTCTGATGTGGACCTGGTGCCAATGCTGAGGTTAGCAAAGCATTTGTATTTGAAGTGGTGTGAATTTCAATGAGCATTAACTCAGCTTACAGAGTGGCAGTGGATAAAAGTCGTGAGTTGCCTTTCTCTGCCCTGACTCAGAAGTTACTCGTTAAAGACTAAATTTTGCCTTATGTTGCCTTCACTTTGAGGACCTAAAGTTTATCAGCCAAATCCTGATGGAGTGACTTTTTTTCAGTGGACGGAAGCTCCTCAGAGAAACAATGAGCCACAGTTTCCATTTCACATCTACTGGAAGGCTTACGAGCTGTTCAGAAGACTTTTGGGTTGCTGTGACAGCTTGCAGGTTCCTGTCAGGTCAGCCAGCACTGAGGCACCAATTACTGTGTCAACATCACTGTTAAACACACGGGGAAATTTTAATTGCCAAAGAAAGGAAGGTGCATTGACCATAGCACAAGCAAGCAAACAGAAAAAAGCCTCTCCATCATTATTTGGGATATTTGCAGCTATAGTCACTTGTACAGACAAATGAAGATAAACATACAGAAGTCAGAAAATAGAAGAAGGGATTGGAAGAGAGAGAATGACTGAATGAAACAAAACCCCATGTGTCAGTAGGGCACTTCACAGATTTACTATAGGTAGATTTTATCTTAACTGCCTACTGGAAATATTGCTTTGAACACTGAAAAAGTCAGCAACATAAGCTTTAACTGCTTGTACAAGGGGAAAAAACAAACAAAACCAAGAGCGCACAAAGGAGCAAAAGCAAACCCTTCCCCCACCAGAGCAGCACCCTAGGTTGGCCTGAAAACGCCACTACCCACGACCTGAAAAGGGCTGCAAGCAGACCTCGGTGTGACCAGCAAGGATCATGTGCCAGCATTTCCTCAGCTGATTAAACCACAAGCTCCTGGCATGGCTCTGTTGGAGTTCTAACCTTTTCAGCTGCTAAAATAAATCTGTGTTCCTATTTTAAGATGCAGAGCTGCTGCTTCTGCAATGCTCAGCTGAACTGATCTTGCTGCCTGGCCTTATCTGTGAGCTGCCTACCTTAGGAAGCAGCTGTGGGCTTTGTGGCTATGAACTGTGACAGTCAGATCTCTGCTGCAAGAGCCAGAGCTTTGCTGAGCTCTTTCAAAAGCAGCAACCTAAAGCGGTCAGTGTTTTTTTTCTTTTTTTTGGAGGGACAGACGTGCAGCCAGCATTTCCTCTCCTTTTCTGCAGCAGAACGTCCTGCTTCAAAAAGCAGACTTCACTTGGCCACAGCCAAATTTTGTTCCCCTCCATTTTCGTGGGTTCCCGCAAACGCTGTGACGATGTGACTGCAGTGTCGTGTTTCCATATCAGCTGGAGCGATGATGACCACTGACAGCGTGCTGGTGAATCACCTCTTTCTTGGTTTGTTGCTCTGATCATTCCTCTAGGCTTTTCTTCAGCTCCAGTTACTACCAGCAGCCCCATAAGATTCACCAAAATTCATCTGTATAATTTGTCTCCTAATAGCAAAGCGTTATTCAAATTGCTGTTTACTCACCTACCAGATTTCAGATGCTTTTCAACCTATAAAGGGCTTGAAAGGCAGAGCAAGAAGCTGTGTTGCTTATAACCACAAGCCTGAACCTATAGCAAATGCAGACTTCACTTGGATCCCTCAGACACTAACTGGTTCTCCAGTTATTTTGGGCTGCTCCAGTGGCCGGGTCCCTCCCGCTTGCAAGCCCTCCCACGCCACGTGATAGCGGCCTGGAAGACAGGCAGGAGGAAGAGCTGAGAGGGAAGCAGCATAAAATAACAATGCTAAGTTTACAGACTGTTACTGTCTGATGGTATTTTCTCTCAACAGAACTTACCTCACCATTTGGGTTTGATTTTTATTTCAAAAAAGGGTATTTCATATTTTAAAGGCAAAACAGAATCCCCTCATCAGAATTCTTGCAGTGGAGAATTAAGCAAAGGATCTGACCTTATAGAGCAGTGCTGTTTTGGTTTGGTTTACACTCTGCTGTTCGTGTGGTGCACAGTAAAACACCATTAACAAAAATGCCCTTGCTTTTTTCAGTCAAAATATTTTGAGTTGAAGGAATGTGGAAATGTTCAACAGGAGCTTCTTACCTTTTGCACAGGACCTCGGTAGCTGAGACAAGATTACATTTTACAAACATCAGGTGGAAACCCTGATTCTGGCTTCTGTTTGCAGTGTGCTATCATCAGAGGCAAATATTTGGAGACACAAGGCCTTTTGTTGACTTAACACTCTTGAGAGATGCTGTGGAATAATTTAAACGTTTACTTTAGGAGGCTGAATAAAGGTCAAATGAATCCTTAGAAAATAGCATCTAGCACCATATTCTGCTTACATGTTCCCTGTGAAGCAATTTAAGAATCTGTGATTTTTAGCTAACATAATTCTAGGCAATAGTATCTCTCTATATATTCTATATTCTATTATTATTTATATCATAGAGAGATATATCTGTCTAGGCACTAATATCAGTCTAGTCCATGACTTTCCAGAGGAAGGCTGGGCTAAATATTTATTGTTCCTGTAATAATGACCATTAAGGATATAATTGTTGCAGATTAGTGCTTTGTGTACATGGTGATTCATATCAAAAACATCCTTTTAAAGTCTCTCCTCGTCCTAATGTATTAATGTTATTTGCACTCTTTTGAGATTCTGCTTTGCAAGTCTAGGCAAGTCAAGCAATTTTCTCTATATAGTTTGTTCCATCTCCCTGCCTGCCAACATTTTCTTTAGTAAATACTTTGGCAGGAAGAAATTGGTTTGCTTTATGCTAAAACTGGGAGCTCCCCCTCCTCCCCCCCAAAAAAAAAAAAGTAAAAAGACTCTACAATAACCATTTAACATGGATTTAAATAGCTCATATAAGATATTAGTAGGGAAAAATCAGTTATGAACTATGGAGGAATTTCCTTTTTTATTTATTTTTTTTTCCTTTTCCAGTTGTCCAGCATCCGCTATATTCTCCTAGAATACAGAAAAAATGTAGTCTGACAGCGTGTTAAATCATCAAAATATACAATATTTTTAGATGGGCACACTGGTTTAAGCACAAAAATCTTTAAATAATCATTGAAGTGGTAGGAAAGAAAGACAATTACCCTGTATCTTTGCAGTTAAGACACAAGATACTGGATTTCAGTTTTTGCCACTACAAAGATTTGGCTAGTTGTATGAAGCAGAGCAGCATCCACGATTGAGAAGAGCAGCCATCCTCAGCTTCCATAACCCCTTGATTTAAGACTCTGTTTGACAAAGCAGGACCTATGGATTTAAGTCATTTCAGATCCAAAAGGAAATCAAACAACTTGTCCACATTGCAAAGGCAGGCTAACATAGCAGGCTTTTAGGTTAAACATCTCCTCCCTCTGCAAAGGAATGAACCCAGTTGCACCTTCTGTAGTATGTTTTCTGTGTCAACATAGTCAAAAAAGTGTGACTGAATTTAACAAAAAGTTTAGGATCTTCTGAAATCATATATTTTAGCAGATTTAATATCTGTCCCTTAAAAAAAATAAAAAATAATTCTCCTTATCCATAAGAAGCTCACTTGCTAAGTCTTGATGTGTCAGGGACATGTAATGACCAAAAACTTAACAATTCAACTACGAGATGTTTTTCATATTAATGTAATTATCATACACCTTTTAAAGTCCTGTAAAAGACCCTTCCACAAATGCCACAAATCTTGTGGCAAGGGTAGGCAATATGGCCAGTAAACAAGATGATTAACAAGAACATGCGCTCCACACAAAACAAAGAAGATGAGCAGTTCCGTTATCTGCTCCTGTTTGAGAACACATCCTACTTGTTTCCATTAAAAAGAAGCATGCTGCGTGCTAGTAAAAAACAAATAAAAAATTGTCCTTTACTAGAATATGTATTGAAGTTAACAACTATAATTTGTAAAAGCATGACACTAAAGATAAGTGAATTTTACAATTGTCTTAATTTAACTAGAGCAGGCCCAGGTTTGTGGCATTCAGTCAAAAGCAACAGAATCTTTACTAGTCTCTCTTCAAAAAAACAGAGCACCACAATCTTTTTTGCTTCCTGAGACTTCTCATTTTTCCCAAAGTGACTGTCAGCACTCAGATCTATGCCAATAATTGTTTTCTGATAACATTTCCTTTCTGTCCCTAGTGAAAATTGTATTTCATTTAAAGCAAACTAACTAGAAGATCAGTCTACAAGTAAACAATTTTTTTGTTTGTTTGGGGGGGGTTTGTTTGGGGGTGGACTTCTCAGATTTACATATTTTACATTTTTAAAACTTTCACTAACACTGATTTTTCATGAGTTGTTAACCAAAAAGTATTCTTACTCATGCTTCAGATCTCAGATCTATCTTGATATGAAAGGGAGAAAGCTGTCAAAACCTTGAAAAAGTCCTTACAGTCAGGGGACATTATTTCCTGCCCAGCTTTGGGACACCACTCCTTCCATACAGAAGTCTTCCCTAGACTCTCAGCTGTTCATATCCAGACTCTCAACTGTTCTTCATATCCAGATTTGCGGGTAGTTGATCCAGCAAGGTCTTTTCAATACAATGAAAACTTTGCGCATCAGATATCATATAGGATTTCGGTAGCTGTTTGCATTTCAGTCCTTGACAATAACTCTTCTGCCTCTTCCAGAGAAAAATATTTCTTAGCTGCAGAACTTGTGCAAGTGTCACTGAGGACTAACTTAATAGCTTGAAATGACATGTGGAGAGATGTTGAAGGAATTGCTTTTGTTCAGCCCAATAGGGGAGATCAAATCACAGTCCTCTAATTCCTAAAAACGAGCTATAGAGATGAAAGCACTTTCTTCACAAGGATGGGTGGTGACATAAGAGGCAACACGCACCTATTGCATTGCTAAACTTTCCCTACCCACTTCTCTGAGACTTCCCATTTCAGCTCCAATTACCACCTAATTAGGTATCCAGTTAAAGACCTCATCTTGCTTTTGACACTCCCAGTGAAGTGTTGGCAAAGCGGCATGAGTTACTGCAAGATCCTGACCTGCTTTGAGAATTACTGCACAGCTGGGCTTGAGAAGGCAAGGTAAGGAACTGAACAAATTTCCAATACTGATAGCATTTTAGGAAGTCCTAAGCATTTTCTGCCAGAAAAGAACCAAAATAATGCCTATCGTATTGCATTCAATAAGCGTCCACACAACCATGTCTGTTGCATATCTTACTGCATTCCAGCCTATATATTTTTCTAATATTGTGTATTTTCTGGCTGTGAATGATTGGTGATCTACCAGGGATTATACATATCAATAGAAACACTGTTGTAAACAATGGAATTCAGATCACATCTGGAATTCAGGTCACATCTCTTCCCCTCTCCATACAATTTTTGATCTGTGTGTGGCTTCTTATCTAAGAGTTTCACATAAAAGGCAGTGGGAATAAACAGGCCTAACAAGATTTGAAGTTTATCTCAATGGATCTATTCTTCATGGAGTTTTAACAGAGCTCCTTGCATGTGAACTTGATGTGTCCTATTTTTTTTCAGAGCATGCTTCTGAAATGTTGGAAGAAATGAAGGCTATCCTCTCCACACCACGATACTGTAGTTTAGCGATTGCTTACTTGCCTCTGGATTTTGACCCAAATAATCTAATCATGCTTAAGGAGTTTAAATATGGTAGCTAATATTTTGGTCAGCCAACAAGAGAAGTCTAACCATATCAGGCTAACAGATCACTTTCCAGATTTCCAAGCCATGAAAATATTTGAGGAATAATTACCACTGCAGCATGACTTATTTTACTTTAATAGCTCCAGCCTCAATATTATGTTCAAGGAATATATTACTCCAACTGCATAGCCAGTATGCTCAAAGTAGGGCTTTTCACAAGGAAGCAAGCTTCTAAGTTATTAATTAAACCAGACAAGTTTCTTTGCAGGACCTCTCTCTTGCAGGCCCACATCCTATTTTCTTCCAGGAAATGAAGGTTGTAATAAGATTCCTTGATTTTCTGAAGAATAATACTTCAGAGTGACTAAGTCCTGAGAGAGCAGTCTCTGATCTGAGGACTGAGAAATCCTCAGAAGTGGAGAGGTAGCATACCTCAAACGTTTCTGACAGACCAGAATCATAAATCTTGAAATGTGAATGCCAAACAGATATATTTGTATCTCCTTACTAGTTTACCTGGCTTTCGTTAGTAATACAATCTTCAGAAAGTTATTGATGATGAAATCTCAGAAGCTAAGGTGACTTCAAATTTTACCCAAAGTTCTGAATGTAAAATTCATCTAATTCAAAATAATCCCAACCAGCAGATAATCTGTTTCCATAATAGAAACAAAGAAGAAGAGGATAACAAATATCCTTGAACTGGATGAAACTTATAAATAAAATGTGTTTAATTAGAACATCCAAGCTTTTCAGTTCGTTCTTATCTTCTGACTTAGCTCTGGGAACTGGAAAAGATCTGCATATGTTGAAAACATCTGCAGTGTAACACACCCTGCAAGTCTGCCTGTGCAGCAGCTGGGGAGGGACTCTGCTCACAAGTACTTTCTGTCTCCCAGTACACAGCCAGCCAGTCACTGCAGAACTAAGAAACAGCACCAGGTTTCCATGAGCATTTCTCCATGCACCCCTCCTGCTTCTCGGAAATGCAGTTACTTTGACAGTTTCACTTAGAGATGCTGCCAAAAGGAATGAATGGATTTCTATGAGTAGAATATGCATATTTCTAAATTTCTTTTATACATATATATATATGTATGTATAAATATAAATAAATATATGCATATTGTATATATATGTTTCGCTTTAGGCACAGAGAGGTGTGAATGTGCAATTTGTATGAGGCCATTAATGAAGCCAGCTCTTTCATGCCTTGTGACTTCACACAACATTATTGGACTTAGTTTTCCACCCACCTGTACTATCATTGAATTCCCTGCTGAATGTTGTTCAGCTGTTACAAATTAATTCATAATGACTTAACAGCACAGAATGTGAACCAGTGGATTTTAGTTTCATTACTATAGGCCTTTGATTTACTTTTCATTTGCTTAAAACACGCATTATGATACAGAACCTTAGAGCATTTCCATGCTGACTTTTACTTACGAGCTATGGTGCAAAAAATCCTTAGCACCTGTGGCAGTGTAAAACCAAGAGGAAAGCCATCACCTGGGTGGCTGTGGCCCTACGTTGTGCTGCATCAGGTTCCACATCTGCCACACACCAAAAAAGCCATGCTACGCTGAATATTTACAACACGGTTCTCCACAAGATGCAAAACCACCAGTCTTCTTTCAAGACTCCTTTCAGTTTAGGATGAACTTTGTTGTTTTCCTGTAATCTTTTTGTTGAACTCAGTCATTGCTCTGGTACTTCCTTGAGCTCCTCCCTTTTCCCTGTGTCCCCAGAGGCCTGTCTAACAATAGCCTGAACATCCTTATAGTCCACTGAGGTCCAAAGCTGTTGATTAACTCAGGAGGCACTTGAGCTTCCTAACAGCCATAGCAGAGCCTTTAAAGCTCCCCAAGCATTTGAAGGCACATCTGTTTTGATGTTTAGGACCCAGCTAACACCGAATCATGCCTAAACCCGATCAGAATCCAGATCATCAACATTCCTGTCCTTCAGCTCCCTGAGGAGAGCTCCATCTGCCAGGCTTTCCTGGGGAACACCTACCATGTATCAACAGGATCTGGCACCTCAGGAACATAATGACAACCACAGCCGTTCAAAGAGTTAAAGCTAATTGTACCACTTCCTTCTCTATTCCCTACCCAGATTGCTCTAATGTTATGGGCTGGCATCCTAGAAGGAAGTGCTAGGCTCCAGTTCTTGTTTTTAATTGTTTTATTTCAATCCACATGCAGATATTTGCAAAGAATTGGCTCTGTCCTTGGGACAGTGTCTATAGCCTTGTGGTCTTCTCAGGCAGGTAGGTTAACGATTTGGTTCCAGAATCACTGGAAACAGATTTTACCCTCCTCAGTGGGACCCACCACAAACAAAGGGGAGACAGTCCTGACTAAACCAAACGTCTCTTTCCTTGAATGGTGAGAACCACAACCCTGACCTCACGTAGGTACAAATAAAACTGAAACCAAATTCCTACCAACAAAGAAAGTCCTGCAACCTAATTGCATTAGAGGAACAGTATCATGAAAGAAAGAGACAGGAAAAGTATGAGAGGGAAAGGGAGATTGCATCTAGAAAATCACTACCTTAAAGGCTTAGCTTGTTTACTGTTATTTTCTCAACCAGACAGGATGAAATATTGTAGAAATGGACAATTTGTTAAGTATAAAGCTTAAAATTTTAGAGCAGAACTGCATTTTATGTACAGTTCTGCTGGCTTTTTTCTTTTTCCATGCGAGTCAGTGCCTTTCAGAAATACATTTACTTCCATCAGTAGAAAC